AGAAGCTGTTAGCGAAAATGCTTACAGTAGCTTTACCAACGTTAAGTTCAAGTTACCAAGTTTAAATAAACCAAAAACCCAGCAAACAGACCAGCACGGAGGGGAGACTGCTACCACGAAAACACCTCTCCTAATGTCTGAAAGAAGCTCCTTTATGAAGGGAGAAACGCTCCCGGTGATTTTCTACATCTGCGGTAGAGACGAAGCAGCTCATCTGACCCCAGAAGTTGTTGTCCGTTGCCGGGAGACGAAGGCGGGCAAAACAGGAAAGGAATCTAATAGCGGACGGATATTGTTCCGGGTCTTCGGTATTTGGCAGAGATGTTAGTGAAGGCGGAGAAGAGGGTGAACTAGAGGAAAAACAGGCAGATTCCACCTCTATTTACAAACTGGGGATGCGACAAGTGGGTGTGGTGCGTCGACTACCGGATCTGACGTCGACAAATTTTTAGAATCGAGCCGTCAACGTCATCGAGGCTTCGCTACAGCCCTAATTTATTCACTTAAGCCCTTTTACAAGACGCACCATACCGGCAAATCGGCAAAATATTACCACAAAGGTCTGTCTTATAAACGTGCCATGCCCGCATGTTGTTGCGCAAATTTTGCAGCATTCGCTTCACATCGCTTGGTAGTAATATTGCAGTAATTGCCTCAAATGGCAATTGCGCCTTGGCGCAACAGTGGGACGTGTCATGATGACGTAGGGAGTTAATGTCGAGCTCTGGCCAGCAGCTAAAAATAAAAGTAAACCCAGACCTTAAGTTTTGCTTTTGAAACTAAATCAGCTGAGATGGTAAACTGGAGCGCTGCAGCACATTCCAGGTTGCGGCGCAGGGACGGCCCTCATACCCCCTGTGTACCGCCATCGCCGTATCTTTTAGAAAAAGTACACGATTGCGCCACATTACCGCCATGGTCACTTATAAATGGCCTAAGACTCCCTGATGCCACCACGGCCTTGCAGCAAATTGATGACATTGTTTTCTGAGGAACAGTGGTTCTACAGGAGAGGAGCCTGTTAATGCAGTTAATGCTTTATGATTTGGGAGTTGAGAGACCCTCCTGGTGGATCCGAAAGTCGCAGGGGTCGGCTGACCTCTGGCACTGGAGGGCTGTAGAATACCGTGGTACCGACTCTTCAGTCCAGAGATGTCTCGGTTCACAACAGCTGGATGGAACCTTGTGTCTGGCGGACTCTTAAGGAGTCTAACAATATCAGCTTTGTTTCTGCAGGAACTGTTTGCTCATCAACAGGTGCAAAAAGGTTTTGACGACGTGTCAAAATCTTTGATGGTTAGTAGGGTTGGGCATAGTTTGATTTTGAACGATTCCGATTCCAATTCCTCGTTTCGATTCCGGTTCCTATCGATTCCCGATTCCGATTCTTTCAAGACGTGACACGTTTTACATGAGTCCGCTAACCACAGGTCCTACTTGATGAAAGTGTGTGTGTGTGTGTGGGGGGGGGGGGGGGTGCTCGGTGCTGCACACAGACAGCTGGTGTGATCAGCTCTGAAAAGCCTTGATCAAAATTTGCAGATCACATTTATTTTTCACGGAGATCGGCCGCGGATTCCTCTTTTGTCGGCACACTAGGAATCGAAATAAAAAACGTTGAGTGATTCCGGGAAAAATGAACAGTTGGAACCGGTTCCAATCGATTCTCGATGCCCAACCCTATTAAAGAGGTTTACTACAGGTAGCCGGCCTGAAGCTATTCTCTAGAACTCGAATCACTCAGGATGATCCAGTTTTAAGGTTTTGATGTTATGATTTGCACAGCCAAAGGCTGACAGGTTTGAGAGATGTTACCAAGATAACTCAGAAACATGCCTTCTTGATACAGGATGTTCTGACTGGGTTAATACTATGTGTGTCAGGGTTTAACTTAGCCGTACTTGTTATGTGTGAGTGCAGATGTGAGGACCTGTTGTCTAAACATGTTGAACACGTGGCAGTCTTACCCCGGCTTTCCACGGGAGCCGTCAGCAGCACGTTATAGCTGCTGATAGGAGCCGCTGTGGTCAACAGAACCTTTTCCACTGAAGCCGTCGGCAGCCGTCAGCAGCACGAGTCGGCCGCGTCTCAGGAGCAGCATGTCGCGGCCTTTACACGCTGGTTCTATTTTCTACGCGCGACCCCTCTGAAACGGGTCAATTTCGACATTTTTGGGAAGGAAAGACAGGAAATCGGACGCGGAAATGGAGAGAAGCTCCTGAGATTTTCAGAATAAAGAACGTACTGCCTTCCGGTTGCTTTACTTTTAAAAAAGGTTACTAACTGTGCGGTCCCGTGAGAAGTTATCACCTAGCTAGCGGTCTCCTTTGTTTTTCAGGTCCGTATTGGCAATTATAAAACGGACAGAACATAAAACACAAACCATGTTGTAATTTTCTCCTGCTTGTTGTTGTGTTTACTGACGAAGTCACTCGTGTGACTTCGTGCTCGGTCGGTGACAGCTGTTCCCCTACTGCTTCGCGTCTCGTGGGAAGGGCCAAGCAGCAGTTTACGCGAGCAAGACGTGCTGCTGCAGTAACGTGCTGCTGACGGCTCCCGTGGAAACCCGGGGTTAGTAGACATAACATAACACTCATTTCCCTTCAATTATTGAGCACAGATTAATGAAGCATTTCATTATACTATAATTAGTATAAGTAGTAATAAACAAATGTTTATTTAATGATTATCTAGATCAGGGATTCCCAAAGTCTGGTGCGCGCACCCCTGAGGGTGCTAGAGCTGCCGCTAGGGGGTGCGCGAGGTGAAAAATGTAATGGCTGCGGAGCTCAGAGAAGTCTGTCATATGTCACCATTAGCGTAGGAACTCATTTGTGGGTGGGCCAAAGAAAAAGTAAGTGGGCCCAATAAATGTAATTGAAAACAAGTATATTTTTGCGGGTGTGTGTGTGTGTGTGTCCTCTGCATGTGCCCTAGCTTCATAATAACAATGCGCTGAGCTTCAGCACTCTGGCCTGCGCACGCCGATATGTTCGTATTTGATCATTTTTAACGGTGTTGGAGAAATCTGAAGGTGGCGAGTCATTCTGGCAGATTGTAATTAACACCTATCTCATGCAGGTGTTCTGACATTCTAAACCTCACACACAGAACATTGTGGATGTAATTAAATAACAAGAAATGATTCCCATTCAGGCTATTAACAGCGCGCTGAAGATCTGAAGTTCAGAGTGCCTCTGTCAGAGGTCAGACGCGTTCCAGCGGAACCACGGCTCACGGGTGCACAAGTGAGCACGTCTGGGCTGGGCAGAAGTAATTTTACAACATTGGTTTAAATGGCGCCAAATAACGAGACGCGGTGACTTGAGCGGCTGTGCCGTGCACGTGCGCACACACACACACCCGCACAGATTCAATAAGCGCACACGCTGCTTTAACTCCGGCCCGCTGTCAGACTGAAGGCAGAAATGAACGCTGCCTCCACCGTGATAAAAACTTTTAAGAGGTTATTTTTCATTCAAGGTCAAATTAAGATATTAGCTTCTGGGATGAGTCGGGTCCGCTCCAGCCAGTGACTCCTCATGAACCTGACCACAAGTCCTGTTACTGCAGCGTTTGTTATTCCAGTCCGCGTGGCAGCGGATCGCAGATTCAGCCACACCATAAAACAGCAATAAGTCGGTCTGAGGTAAAAGTGAACATCATGGCTATATCTTGTCCCCTATTGACATTTGATTACACACAATTAGGTGATAAGCTCAGGTTTATGCAGAGCAGAAGGAAGGAGAGCGCTCTGGCCGCACAGGTTAAACGTTCCTACTTTAAGAAAACCGTTAAATTGCATTGTTTATGTGCTACCTGGGCACTCTAAATATTTATTTAAAATAAAATCAAAGGAAATTATAATGGTATCGAATGTTTATTAATTACTATTTAAAAAATGAAAGTGATGGGGAATTTTTTTTAACCCTGTCTGTTTAGCTTGACATCTGATATGTATATATATATAGAGAGAGCCATGCCCTGATGTGGGGGCCGGGGGGGGGGGGGGGGGGGGGGTTGACATGGTCGGGACATAGAAGGGGGTGCGCGGCTTAATAAGTTTGGGAACCACTGATCTAGATTATAAGTCATGCAAGAAGTTCATATTGATTTAGGAAATCATTCTTGAATTTAGCAACTGATTCACTGGAGTGTTCCTTCTGTGGAGGCAGATGGGACCTTGGGAAAGAAAGTTATTGTTATCTTTCAGACCTCAGGCTCTGAGTTCCAGCTGGTATGAAGTCAGCTCATTTAAAGGGAACACATGCAGTGTTGTGTCTCCTTTCTTGGCCAGATGTTAAATAGATGTTGAAAGGTCAAACTGTACCTAAAACACCATTGCTGGACGTTACAGACTCAAGCATCAACGCAGTGCTTCTGAAGCACTGTTAAGTGTTTTTTTTTACATGTGCCAAAGCTTGGGCTTCAAAGAGAACATCACTAATAAATGTATAGACAGGGAATTATTAAAATATTTGATAGGTGCAGCCCTAGCGATCATCTGCTATACTTCATTGTCCCCTTTGTCCTGACTGACATGCCTTCATCCTGTTTTACAACGTGTGCAGGATAGGTATTTAAGGATGGTTTTATTCTCTACGTCATCCTGTTAAACTTCCTCTCTGTAGGAATCTTGTTTCCATTTAAGATGAGCTAACAGTCGTGTCATCCACAAACTAGAAGATTGTATTTTTGGGGTGAGTGGGTGCAGTTATTGGAATAGCAGATGTAGAGAGCAGGACTGAGCACACACCCTTGAGGTACTCCTGAGTCAGGGCGCATTAGGGGTGTTCAATAAGTCTCAGTATCTGTGGATAGTTGGTACAAAATAATTACAGCTGTCTTTTACAACCGTTTTATACTTCACACACACACACACACACACACACACACACACACACACACACACACACACACACACACACACACACACACACACACACACACACACACACACACACTTTCTCTAAAGGTGTTTTCTTTCTTCTCTTGGGCAGGGAGGTCTTTCAGCAGCCCCAGCTCGTGCTGTCTCAGCTGTGAAGAACATGAATCTGCCAGAAATTCCTCGGAACATCAACATTGGAGACATCAACATCAAAGTGCCGAGCCTCTCCCCGTTCTGAGGAGCATTCCAGTCCAGTCCGCAGAGCTGGTGAACCATACTACTGATGGAGTTGTTCTCCTCCACCCTTCTCTGTGGTCAATGTGGACAACTCTGTTTTTTATTACTGCAGAACCACAGCCGCATACTCCCCCTTGATTTCAGTCTTGCATAAGGAAGTGAAGATGTGGACTATTTTTGAACATGTTGCACAATATTGTAAAAATGTGATTCTATAAAAGATTGTTTTTTCTGCTACTCTGAGTTGTTGAAGTCATACAATTAATGACTAAATGTTTGTAAAGTGATCTTAGATCAGTGTTTCTCAGTTCTGTCATCTCCAAGCAGTTTCTACTGAATGAGCTTCAAAATTATTCCTCTGAAGAAAACACATTCAGTTTAGCTTCTGTGTTTGTGACAGTGTTTTAAAGAGTTTGCGCTGTATCATGATTTCTAATATTTTGGTAATTTTTTTAGTTTTGGTGATTTGTTCCTCAAGATAATTCTCTGAGCTAAAGATGTAAAGCAACCAGCTTTAGATCGCTGCGTGGATATTTGAGTGTTCCTGTAAAGTGTTCTTGTGTCTTATTTGCTGTATTTTTGTTAAGGTAGAGTCAGAATTTGTTGATAGTTTTATTGGGAAATATTTTGCATTTCAAGAGAAGTAGGCTTGTCTCTGTGTCAAAGACCTTCCTCGCCAAAGTAGAATAAATAAGTACGCCCTTGTTTGTGTCTCTTCCCAAATCACAACTAACTTATTTTCTCAGCTGTTACACTCGAACCATTCTTTCCTGTTCACATTTTTCAGTAGGGTTAGGGATAGAAGTAAAGATTTCACCGTCATCAAACTCAAAGTCTCAGAATATCAACCTCATTCCAGTAGAGTTGAATTAAAAACAGAAGATGAATGCAAATCAGCAGGTATTATTGTAGAGCATGTGCTGTGGTGAACCATCTCTGAACATCAGAATTGTTTCTGCCTCAACACAAGTAGATGACTACCCCTGTCCACTCATTTTGGAATTTGTGATAAGTGAGGTAGTTGTTCCCTCCCTCCGATCGCAGTAGAACTTGTACAAGCCTTTACCACCTCCCATTTCCAGCCTACAGATGCCAGGATCTTGTCCTAAATCAGCAGAGGGTCTTTTTTGCTCATCATCGACATTTGGACTCAAAGAAGGACGTATAGTGGATGTTCAGAGATTGGTATGTACTATTTCCTCCATGTGTGCTTCTGCTCTGTCTTGTGTTTTAGCTGTCTCACTAGAGGGTAACAATGTGTTTTACAGCTCTTGTCATATGGCAGCAATTATTCACCACTTTCAGGAAACATTTACCAAAGTTCTACTGCAGCAACGTCGATTATGTAACTTCACAAATGCTGAAGAAGGAAAGTCACGCAAAAACATTTTCACCGTAGGGCACACTTTTGGTGCAGTTTCCAAAATCTGTAGCTTTTGGTAGAAACCGACGCACACATGCTGGGTTTGTATGAATCGGCTGAAAATTTGTTGTTCTGGTAATTCCTTGTTTAAAGGATCCTCGTGGCTGTTCTTTTGAAAACAAGACTGAGTGTCCAGGCTATATGCTAGTCAGCATCAGGTTAAAAACCCTGCAGCTCCTACCTCTGCCTGTAAATTACAGTGCCCTGTTGGGTGGAGAGCTGCAGAAGAGGATTGGGGCCACCGAAAAGAAAGTAAGAGTTCTGACTTTAATCTCTGAATCTGAACTTTTTTCTCAAAAATCAGACTATTTTACTATTAAGAAAAAAGTAAGAATTCTGACAACAACATTGTTTTATAAACCGTTATTAAATTATTGAAACGATGACCCATCCCATCCAGCTCATGGATATGAAGGAGTGGTCAAGTCCTATGTGACACACAAGAGTGTTCCTGTTCAGTTAGACCACTGTTCCTCAGCCACAGCTCCGTATGTCCTCCAGGAGTCTGTTCACTATACACGCTGCCCACGGGAACATACCATACCACTTTATTTGTAGAGCGCTTTTAACATGGCATTACAACCGACCAAAGTGCTGCACATAAAATAAATAATAAAAAACACAAGCTAAAATAGTTGTGTATAAAGTTAAAAGAACAACAGACTAAAATCGAACAAACAAGGTGGAAAAACTAAGGATGAATTTATGCTTTATGGTTTGGGAGTTGAAGGCCAGGGAGAAGTAGTGGGTTTTCAGGCGTGATTTAAAAACGGCAATAGAGGGTGCTTGCCTAACCTGAAGAGGTAATGAGTTCCACAATTTTGGGGCACAGACAGAAAAAGCCCTTTCCCCGCGGGTCTTCAAACGTGCCTTAGGGACAGTTCGAACGAGCTGATCTTCAGACCTAAGAGCACGAGGAGGGTGGTAGTGATGGAGGAGTTCACACAGATAGGGAGGTGCCTGGCTGTTCAAAGATTTGAATGCGAGAAGCAGAATTTTGAAATTGATCCTGAACTGAACGAGCAACCAGTGGAGTGATTTAAGAGTGGGTGTAATGTGCTGTCTTCTGTCAGCTCCAGTCAGGAATCTTGCTGCAGAATCCAGGACAAGCTGAAGTCTAGACAGAGCAGCTTTACTGATGCCGTACAAGCAGGAGCTGGAATAATCAAGCCGAGAAGTGATGAAGGCGTGAATCACAGATTGTAGAAGACGGACACTCAGGATGGGCTTAAGTTTAGAAATTCACCTGAGGTGGTAAAAACAAGACCTGACTGTGCTATTGACCTGAGCATCCATCTTCAGAACCGGGTCTATTTTTATTCCAAGGTTGGAAATAGCAGAAGTGACATTAGGAGACAGATAGTGGAGGTCAGGTTGCTGGGTTACTCTAACATTGTCGGGACTAAAAATGATTACCTCTGTTTTAGAGTCATTCAGATGGAGGAAGTTATCAGCCAGCCATTGCTTGACATCGTGAAGACAATCAAACAGAAGTTTAGTGGAGTCAGTGGGTTTAAGTGAAAAATAGATTTGACAGTCGTCTGTGTTTAGATCAGGGGTGGGGAACCCTGGTCCATCGAGGGCCACTATCCAGCATATTTTAGTTTCAACCCTGGATCATCACACCTGATTTCAATCAGCAGGTGATTAACAAGCTTCTGCAAAGCTTGATGAGCTGCAGAACAGGTGAATCAACCACTGAATCAGAAGTGTTGGAGCAAAGACATGCAGGATACCGGCCCTCGAGGACCAGGGTTCCCCATTCCTGGTATAGATGGTATGAAACAGCATGCTGTCTGAAAATGGCTCCCAAGGGCAGAATATAGAGGCAGAACAGTAACGGGCCGAGGATGGAACCTTGAGGAACCCCCCAGGGAAGGGAGAGTGACTGGGACGAATAGTCATCCAGCATGACCCTGAGGGACCTGTTAGAAAAGTAAGACCTTAACCAGTCTAGGGCCGAGTTAAAAATGTGGTATTACATTCCAAGCCAGGCTAAACTCCGCCACATAGTCATTTTATCTGAATGTAAAGATTTGTTTGCAAACCCTGATGGCTCCATGCACCCAAGCCCATCAGGAATCTAGACGGGATTATCCATAGCTCTTTAAAAATAAACAGGTCAGCTCAGTTGTCAGTCAGATTAGGGCTCTTTTAGCTCCATCTATGTGCTAAAGTCAAGTCTTACTTCAGTTTTCAGTCAATGATGTTTTCATCACAGATTATTTTAACTCCCTCTAGGGCATTGGTCCATTTTCCCTTCAGGGTCTGCAGATTGTTCCAAATCCAGCTTGACTTTTAATTGAAATAAGGAAAATACGTTGAGAGGAGCCAGCTGGTGTTCCAGGAATTATTTTGCAATTCCTCCTGAACGCCTCTCTGGGGAGATGTTATGGGAATGTCCTGCCAACAGGTACAATAAAAATCATTGGTCATGGCTGTGCTCAGATAAGCAGTTAGCTAGGCCTGAGGACAAAAACCTTCTCCTAGCAGGTCAGTTAAGAAGCTACATCAAGTGGGTAAGAAATGATCTCAGTTAGTGTAGGAGCCAAATATGTTGTTTCCTTCACTTTGGTCTCGATGTCTTAATTGATATGTGGGCGTGTCATTGTTACTGGTCGGAATAAAGGTAGTGATGTCATTGTTGGTGTCAGGCACTATTCCGGAAGGGCAAACAGGTTTTTGACCGCTGTGGCGTGAAGACGTTTGAATGGGAAAGTTAGCAATTACTCCTATCATTGTTTCACCTGGAATGCAATCAACATTAAACAAGCATTATCATAACAATTCCACGCTTAAGGCTGTTTTTTAACTAATTAAATTAGTCAACATCGGATCAACACAGAGCGTCAACCATGTCCCGGTCTAGCAGCCTCAGGAGTTCGAGTACTGGACTTGACTTCTACAGTTAGCTTTACTTCAGTAAGTTTATGTGATTAAACGGGGATAAGCTACCTTAGTTAAGCTATATTCATTAACTACTGTGTGGTACACCTGAGGTATTTTTTACAGGTGATCCCCATGGGCAACATGTTTAGAGAATGGACTCCTGGGGGACATATGGTAATGGAGCTGTGGCTTAGGAACAGTGGTCTAACTGAACAGAAACACTCCTGTGTGTCAAACAGGATCTAAACCACTGCAGCTCCTTCGAGCTGGATGTGATGGGCCATGGTGTCGAAAGCAGCTCAGCCTGCAGCTCCTACCCAACTGTCTTCCTCATGCTGCACTAAAATGCAAACCAAACAGAGTTTATTACCCTGAAAAATAATTTTTGTTAAAAGTAACTGAAAATATTTGTTTATGGAGCTCTTTCATTTTTTAAAACAATACATGTCAGTTTCAGGAAGGGCCTCAGTCTATTTTGTGTTACATAAAACAGATTCAGATGCATTATTTCCAGATGTTTCTCAAGGGCACTCAGTTCACGTGCGTTTGTGTCTGTGCATGTGTGTGTACGTCAGCAAGCATTTGCCATGTGGTGATGACTAGAAGAAGCTAACTTATGAAGAAGTTCCCTTTAAAAAGCACACAGTCTAAAGTTGTGTATTGACAAGCATAAGTCTAGAAGGTTTATACTTTCAGAGCCAAATGTGCAGCAGCAGTGTTCTTGGGGTCAGTGTGTATTTGAGTGTATGTCTGAGGGACTTATTCAAACTGTTAGCACCCTGTTCTTTTTTGAGCAAAAACATTTCATTCTGTGCTGCGATTGCCCTGATTACGCCACACAGGCTGATAAGAACCTTAGGAGCTTCCTGGGACACTTGCCAGGCTTCTGCAGAAATGCAGATCAGAGCTGCTTGAGAATTGTTCCACAAATCGGTGGGAGCGTTATGTTTAAAATTTATCTGAGACAGTTGATAAAAACAATGTATCAGCAATTTTAGAAATCTCATTTCTATATGTCCTCAGGCCTGAGGAAATGCAGGGTTTTAAACCTGATGCTGACTAACACTTAGCCTGGACACACAGTCTTGTTTTCATCTATCAGATGATATTCAGCTGTACTGATTCTGAGTTCTAAAAGCTGAAAAGACTGAATGTCTGATCATTGCCCCTTGAGAGCATGGTTCCCCCCGATTAGTTAACGACTTGGTCATTTAACTCATCAAACTTAAGAAATTTGGGTGTTATTGACTAATCAGTGTCTCTTGAAGGCCACTCAAAAACGTTGGTGCGAAACAGTTTTTATCACAAGAAATATCTCCAAACTGCGAAGGTTGGTGTGAAGACATGAACTTGAAATGGTTATCCATGCCTTTACTGTATCTCCTCCCGACTAGATTACTGTAACACACTCTTCACATGTTTTAACAAAAAGCCCTTGACCGTCTACAGTTGGCCCAGAACTCTGCAGCGAAGCTCCTATTTGGAGCAAACAGAAGAGCACACATCACTCCTATTCTGATGTCTCTGCACTGGTTACCTGTTAACTTTATAGTTCATTTTAGAATCCTGACTGTAACTTTCAATGCTACATGGTCAAGCTCCTCCCTATATTACAGAACTGTAAAAGCCTTATGGGCTCGACACACGGTAGGCGACATCGCCTCTCCTCCATTCATTTTCAATGAGACATACGCAACAAGGCGATAATCGCGGGTCTCCCTCCTATCAAGTGAAACGCGAAAAATGTGCGTGTGAAATTTTGCGCTCGTACACGTGTCGTGCACAGGCAACCCAGCGACGCAATCCCAGAAAGTTGAAACATTTTCAACTTTTCATCACTGGCGCTCGGACGAGGACCAATCAACGGAGGTTTCATTCACTGACCAATGAGCGGACAGGATGCTCCGTACATCTCCGAGCAAACATGGAGGAGTAGTTGATTATTATTATGTTTTATATAGTAAAATCACAAGTAAGGTTTCACATAACTCTAGCAGCACCTTGTGAAACATCACATCTACCACTTTTTTAACTCTGAACCGCTTAAATAACCTTAATTCCCTCCAACCTGACACAGCCAAACAAAACAACGGAAGTTTGGATTTCGCCATGGAACAGAACGCGTAGACGGCTTTGCTGCTGGCCGTTTTGTTTTTAATCATCTTCCATTTGTTTGTGATGCTTTGTAGCTTGATGAATTTATGATTTTATGGCTTTATGGTTTGTTCTGTTGATCTTTGCGATGCATTTGTGATTTTTCGTTCTGTGATAAGTTCTATAAATAAACTTTACTCACTTACTTTACTATTATGTATATATTAGGCTTATTTTTTTTGTTTTATTTCTCTTTTGCCCTTTCATCCCCACCTGAAGAGCCTTTTAAGACAATTAAATTAATGATTAAAAATTTCATGGCTTGTATCATTGCTACCACACTAGACATATCCAAGAAGTAGTTCACAGTCTTTAACAACTTTTATGTCTGTTTCAAAACAGCCTGATATTCAGCATGACCCATTCTCATCATAGATGTTGCTGATGCTGTCATGTCAGGATGAACCAGAACCTCTGAGGGACTCAACACCTTGTACCTAGTTCTGGCAAAAGAGAGTATGGTACTAGCAATGTGTACCAAATCAAGTTCCTAACATAAACTGAACTGAAGTGATTTACTTGTGGCGAACAGAGCTGTATTAAGACTGAAAAAGATGACTGTAAACATTTTTTTTAAACTTTGTGCTAGTGTTACGTGTCACTGGGTTCTAAGACTTAAATGATAAATACTGAGTAAATAATTGAGAGCTTTCTCACGCTGTGTTTCTCCCCAGGAAACAATGAAAAAGCTGTTTTGAGATGTTAATTAATCAACCATTAAGTGAAACGAGAAGAGCACCACTGACCCTAAACATCAGCAAACTAGGACACCTCAGAGTTCATCTCTAACCTTGTGAAGCAGACATGGGGAAAGTCTACCATTTCAGTAAAAACGCTGTCCTTGGGACGCTCGTTCTGGCTGTCACTGCACTCGCTACAATTATAGCTCTATCTGTCGCCTATCACAAGGAGAGAGCCAATAACCAAAGTAAGCCTGGAAATGGAGCATCAGGTACCAGCAGCACATCTGCACCCCCCACAACCCCCTTCACACCAAAGGTGCCTTGGGACTATTATAGACTTCCAAAAGGCCTCGAACCCGAATCTTACAATGTGGTCCTGTGGCCCAGGCTGAAACCCAATTCAGATGGCCTTTACATTTTCACCGGAAATTCAACTGTGGTCTTCAGATGTTTAAAGGACACAGACCTAATCATTATCCATGCCAACAAGCTGAACTTCACCACTTTCGAAGGCATGCATGCTAAACTGAGTAGTCTTCATGAAGAAGCAGTACCTGCCCTGCAGAAGTCTTGGCTCACGGCGAGGACGGAGTATCTAGTTGTTCAACTGCAGAGCAAATTAAAAGCAGGAGCAATGTATGCTCTTCACACTGAATTTATGGGTGAGCTGGCCGATGACCTGGAAGGATTCTACAGGAGTGAATACCTGGAGAACGGTCTAAAGAAGTAGGCATGAAAAGTTTCTGTTTGTTTGATTTATTACATCTAACCACGCGTGTGTCTGTTTGATAGTTATAGTGGATTTTCTTTGTTTACAGGATTGTTGCAACTTCTCAGATGCAACCAACATATGCCAGGCAAGCATTTCCATGCTTTGATGAACCGGCCATGAAAGCCATCTTCAACATCACCATCATCCATGACCCAGACACAGTGGCTCTGTCCAATGGCAAGGAAAAGAGTCAGTTTCACAAAACACACACACACACACACACACACACACACACACACACACACACACACACACACACACACACACACACACACACACACACACACACACACACACACACATACACACACACACACACACACACACCCCAACACATTCTCACTCCAGCATGTCAAAAACAAACGCTTGGTCAGCCACCCTCCACGTCAGACCCCTGGGTAAGGTACAATGAGCTTGTTTGGAGCCCTGGCTGCGGACATCCCATCGCATCAGGGTAACGCTCCATTGGGATGCAACGGTAGCGGACATCCCATCACGTCAGTTTTACGCTGCATTGGGATCTGCAGTCAGAAAAGGGAAAAAACCCTTTTCGCACATAAGTAACGAAAAAGGACACTTTTGGCTTCAGGGGTCTGATGTGGAGGGTGGCTGATCAAGCGTTTGATTTTGATGCGCTGGGAGTGAGAATGTGTTGCACACACACACACACACACACACACCTCAGACTATATATACATGTATATGTAGAGAGAGAGAGAGAGAGAGAGAGAGAGAGAGAGAGAGAGAGAGAGAGAGAGAAAGAGAGAGAGTCTGATCTCAGCTTTAAGGCAGGACCAGGTTTTGGTGGATGAATGGATGGATGACTATCCATCATTGAATATTGAATAAAGGTTGTTGGCAAAAATTATAGAAAGACCTGCATCAAGATGAATAAAAATGTGAGTAGTAGAGTGCCTTGTGTAGTAAATTCTCTGTCTGATGGTCAGGTCATAGATGACTGATAGCCTGAACACCTGCTAACAGAGTTTCAATGTCCGATTGTCTCTCGTTTTGTACAGATTCTTCGCTCTCTGTCGTCAGTGGTGTTCCTGTCAAAGTTACTACCTTTGAGCCCACAGAGAAAATGTCCACATATCTGTTGGCCTTTATCGTCAGTGATTTCATTTCCATTGAGTCAAGCACAAGTAACATTTCGGTGAGAAAGTTTCTCTTTGCATTTTAATTGCTATCGTATCATCAGTAATGCTCCCTTGTTGTAGTATTTACAGATTTATTACCGATATTACACTGCCTGGCAAAACAAAGTTGCCACCTGGATTTAACTGAGCAAAGAGGTATGAGCCTCCATTAGATAATAATAATAATAATCAAACTTATATAGTGCTTTATTAGGACACTCAAAGACGCTTGTGTGAACTCTTACATTCACACACTGCCAGTGTAAGCTACTACGTAGCCACAGCCGCCCTGGGGAGGTCTGACAGACGCGAGTCTGCCATTTGGCGCTTCGGCCCCTCTGACCACCACTAACTCAGGCAAGTTGGGTGAAATGTCTTGCCCAAGGACACAACAGCAGAATACCCCTGACTGGAGCTGGAATCGAACCCATGACCCTCCGATCATGAGGCAACCCACTCTACCTCCTGAGCTACTGCTGCCCCAAATCATCTGCATGGGTGATTATGTTTCAGCTGGCAACAAGTTATTTAACCCCAACTGGTGCAATGAGTCGCTTCTCATTTCTTAAACAACCATGTAGAAAGACACATCTGGTGGTCATGGAAAATATGTTAGTCTGTTTGAGAAGGGTCAGATCATCGGCATTAAGCAGAGAAAACATGTAAGGAGATTGTAGAAACGAATAAACTGGGTTAAGAACTGTCCAACACATTATTAAAAACTGGTCTGATGAGTCCAAATGGACCCTGTTCCAGAGTGATGGAGTATCAGGGAAAGAAGAGGGGCAGATGAAGTGAAGCACCCATCATGCCTAGTGCCTACTGTACAAGCCTGTGGGGGCAATGTTATGATCTGGGCTTGCTGCAGTTGGTCAGATCTAGTTTCAGCAACAGGATGTGCTCCAAGCATGAGGTCAACTGACTACCTGAATATCCTGAATGACCATGTTATTCCATCGATTGAGATAGGGTGGGAAGCTCCGTCATCTGGGAGGTCAGAGTAGAACTGCTGCTCCTCCACATCGAGAGGAACCAGTTCAGGTGGCTTGGGGATCTGGTTGGGATGCCTCCCAGGTTAGGTGTTCCTGGCATGTCCAACCAGGAGGAGAACCAGAGGAAGACACAGGACATGCCGAAGGGATTATGTTTTTTGTCTTGCCTTGGAACACTTGCCCTGGAAGAGCTGGCCCAAGTGGGCCTCTATGCTGCTGCACCCACTACACAACCTCGAATAATCAGAGAAAAATGTTTAGATGGAGATTTGTTACCCTAGAAATCACATGCTTTTAATTTCTTGCAGATCCGAATCTGGGCTCGAAGAACAGCCATAGACAATCGGCAGGGCGACTATGCTTTAAATGTTACAAAGCCAATCCTTCAGTTTTATGAGAAATACTACAGTTCAAATTATCCACTCTCAAAATCAGGTAGGTCAACACAGAAGAAAACATTTGTGTCGGATATTTAACCTGGCTGTTGTTGGCTTCATTACTGGTTTTGTACAGATGGCTTATTAACTTCACTTGGAGTATGATGTTACATCTCCTTTTCTTTCCTTTTGTCTCTGTTGGGTGGGGATTTTACTTGTGATTGTTGCAGACCTTTAAAAATCCAGAAAAGGATGTTGATCAAAGAAAGTGTTTAGCTCCGAGAAAATATACATGACTGAAGTCATGCAGAGATTGTGAGGATCCTAACGGGCGTGGCTCATACAGGACAGGGTATATATACTCATATCATACTTATCATCAAAGTTTATTGCACACCATAATAGAAGAGTAAAATAGTGAGATCAGTCAACTTGCAAGCAGCAGCAGCAGTCCTGCCAACCTTGTCAAAAAGAGGGTGTTACGCTATAGGTTAGGCCAGATAGCTTTTCTCTGCTTTTCTACGATGATTGGCTTAAACTTCTTCACCATGCCGCTGAGTCGTGTTGTCAGACATGAGTACCACATGTGCATATTTGCCACAGAACTCAACTCATGCTTCCGCAGCTTCTTGCGTAGTTTAAATGGGTGAGTCGTACCAGCGTGGATCCTGCCAACAATGCCAAATGTGGCACCTTCCTACTGGGTAGGTGGGCTATACTATATATCTACAGGATACCAAATCCCACCCAAGGGTTACACCAGGTAAAGTTGAGAGCGACTGCCAGAGATCAAAGCCGGGCCAATCACTAGAACGGTTAGGGTTAGGGTCACTGGAACTGGGCCCAGTGAGAGTCTGCAGCCTTATCTGGATGCTGCGGGGCAGATTCCTCCTCCTTCAGGACGCTTGTCCGCCACGCCACCCTTTTCCTCTTCCCTCAAGAGCTCGCCTCCTCCTTCAAGACGCGTGTCTGCCGCACCGCCATTTCCCTCAATCGCCCGCTTCCTCCTGCAGATCAGTCACTGACTCAGCCGCGCCATGCCGTCGTCCTCCTCCGTCGCGGGTCCACCTGTCAGTGAATTTCATCGGCGTTCACTGCTCGATTGCACACCACGGGTCACACCTTGTCACAGGCTGCTACTCACACGCCAGGGCAGAGGAGTACCCTGCCCACATCTCCATGAAGCCTCGTCACTGACAATCGGTGTACTTTCACCCGGCGACTCTCCGCTTTCTGCCATCGTCTCCACCGAAGACGCTCCTAATCTGCCACCGGTGCAGATAATTGCCCCGGTCCGGATGTCATCTGTCCAAGCTTGTCAAAATAAAATCACACATCCTCCCAGTTTCCTGGGTTCTCCAAAATAAAAGCATCCCATGCACTAAAACTAAGTAAAAAGAATACACACTAAAAATGCACCACACTGGAAGGAAAAACACAATAAACACTAACTTTGCCCATATGACAAATGCACCATCTTACATTGGTGATCTTCTTAGTCCCTACACCCCCAGCAGTAGAGCCCTGCACTGAAGCCCTAGGCCCGCGGGTCGGCCTGGCCCGACGGTCCGATGGCCGGGCTTCGGGCCAACGACTGTGTAATTACCTCGGACACGGGCCGGGCACCTTTATTTTTAATCGAATTCATAAAAAAATACTGAAACACTTGAACGCAGCAGCACCTGCCTGCTTCTCACGCAACGGCACCCGTTAGCTCAGTTAAGGTCTGTGTGGTTTATTAATCAGAATCAGAATCAGGTTTATTGCCATTGTCAGTGAACAAACAATTCACAAACTAGGAACTTGCTTCGGTACTAATGTGCTACATATAACATGAATAATAAGATTAAAAATCAAATAAAATAGAATAAAATATAAATAATATATATTTATATATTTATATACCGTAAATCCTCTAATACAGGCCCGGGCCTGTGTTTGACTCAAGCTCATCAAGCTCCAGGCCTTTATTTGAAGGAGGGCCAGTATTAGAGGCAGGCCTCTATTTCTATTTGAGAAAAATGAACTAATGGTTCGTTGGAGTTTTTGATAATTAAAATTGAGCCCACATTTTCAAAGTTAAACACATTTCTTTTAACAACGGTAGTTCCTGCTTCAGCCCTCTCCCCCCTCCCCCCACGCAGCGGCCGCAAACTCACTGATGCGCCTGCAGCCTCTCAGAGTTCCTGCTGCTCTAAACATTAAAATAATTATTTCATTTTCTGTTCCTCACTTCTGATTACCTTCAATGGTGTCTGTTTGTTGCAACCACCAGATACAAAAACTAACTTGTTTTTATTTGACTCTTTTTGTGTCATGTCTGTTTATTATCTTCCTGCATCTCCTCTCAATCCTAAAGAAAAACTGCTACCTGGGTTCATATATATATTCACCTTATGAGTTACCTTTGAACTGCAGTTCTAAAAGATCTACCGACCGCAAAAACAGCGGAGTGCTCGCTGCTTGCCGGCTGCATCAGTGATCGGTGCGTCACCGGATGACAAGTTGATGCGCCCCGCTCCACAGCAAAACGCATCAGGCGCAAATAAAAGACAGAAAACATTAAAGGAAATGAACTGACATGAACGATCGCGTCAGTACCGACGCTCTGGCAGAGCTAGACCGGGTCGGGCTGGGGCTCCACCCCCTCGGGCCGGGCACGGACTCAGATTTTAGGCCCGTGCAGGGCTCTTTCCAGGAAGTCCAGCCCGACATCTCACATCTCCCTCCAGGCCTTTAAGGTCTGCTGACCACCTATTGCTACGCGTTCCCAAAATGAGCTACAAAGCTCGGGGGTACATGCTTTCACTTTTGCTGCACCCAAACTGTGGAACGCACTCCCTCTGTCCACGCAACAGGCTCCTTCACTGACACAGTTCAAATCTAACTTAAAGACCCATTTCTTTCATTAAGCCTTTGGCTGGTGAGCGTTCTTTTTATGCTGCGTCTTCGTTTTTTTTTATGTTTTCAGAGATTCCGTTTTGATCTTATCTGTTTTTATTCTTGTGACTGTTAAACATTCTGTATGAATGAAGGTGAATTTTAATCTTGTTTTTACTATGTCTGATGTTTTTACTCTGTAATGGATTAGAATTACATTTAAGGACCATAAGACATTAAAGATTCATGCTTTCGTTCTTTTTTAAACACAGAAACAGTTTTGTTTACCTGTTTGTAGCTACGGTTTCGCCGACAGCTGCCGGCTTCTTCAGGCTGACGCTGATGGTGGCGCGTCACTTCCTTCTCCATTTATCTGCGGGCAGCAGAGGACGTTGTCGCCCTCTACTGCCCGCTCTCCCCTCTCCGACGATGCAGTCCCATGCGTGGTCCAGCGTGTAAACTCCGTCGTCCCTGTTCATGGTCCCACATCCACGTCTCCTTATCTCTATTGCTTCCTTGATCCATCTTTTGTATTTTTGTTGTTCAGTGGTTATGATCCGTGTGCTGTCCCAGTCCATTATATGGTTTTCTCTTAAGCAATGATCTGTTACGGCTGACTTTTTTATTGTACTTTCTGCTTCTTCTTTTGCTGCTCTTGTGTGTTTACGATTTGCCTCTTTCTCGCACTCCTTTCTGTGTTCTATTGTCCGTGTATTGAGTTGGCGTCCGGTTTCTCCTATGTATGTTTTATTGCATATTTTGCATGGGATTTCGTAGATGACTCCACATTTTTGTCCAGCTGATATTTTGTCTTTTGGGTGCACTAGTCTGTTTCTAACTGTTGTGTATGGCTTTGTTGGTGTGTTTATGTTGTGTTTTTTCATTGTTGCTCTTATTTTTTCCGTTATGCCTCTGATGTATGGTAGGGTTATCACTGGTTTTGGTTCTTGTCTTTCTGGGTTTCTGGTTCTTTTTTTGGGTTGTTCTTTGCTTTCTGTTTTTGTTTGTTGTTTTCCTTTGTTTATTGCCCATGTCGGGTATCTGCAGGTCTTTAAAGCGTGTTGTATGTGTTTGTCCTCTTGTTTACGGTCTCTCTCTTCTGTTATTATGTTTGTTCGGTGATATAATGTTCTGATTACTGACATTTTGTGTATGGTGGGGTGTTCTGATGTCCATAACAGATATTGGTCTGTGTGTGTTGGTTTCCTGTATGTGTTTATGTTTAGGGTCCCGTCGGTCTGCCTGGTGATTTTCATGTCCATAAATGCTATGCTGCCTTCTGTTTCTAACTCATAAGTGAATTTTATGTTGCCCGTGTCGTCAATATTGTTTAAGTGTTGTGTTAGTGTTTCTGTTTGACCTTTTGGTATGATTTCCAGTATGTCGTCTACGTAGCGTTTCCATAGTTTTATTTTGCAGTTTGGGGGGGCGGTGGCTATGGCTTTTTGTTCCAGGTCTTCCATGAAAAACTCGCACAGGGTGGCTGATAACGGGTTACCCATGGCGAAGCCTTCCAGTTGTTTGTATATTGTGTTGTCGTATGTGAAGTAAGTGGAGTTAGCTACCAGTCCTATCAGTTGTGCTATGTCATCTGCTGTGAGGTTTGTCCTTTTATGTAAAGTTTTGTCTTGTCTGATTCTGTTAACTACTATGTCTATGGTTTTTTGGGTTGGTGTTTTTGTGAACAGAGATGTGACGTCATGTGAGATGAGTATGTCGTTGTCTTCTATCGTAATTTCCTTTAGTTCTTTTGCCAATTCTATACTATTTTTGCAGTGTTGGTCTGTATTTCCTAATAACGGGCTGATGATTCTGCTGATATCTTTTGCCATGTTGTATGTTGGTGTACCTATGCTGTCAACTATTGGTCTAAGTGGGGTGTTTTGTTTATGTATTTTTGGTGTTCCATATATTCTTGGTGTTATGTTTGCTGTGGGAATCCAGTGTTTGTACATTTTTTCTGAGGGGAGAGGGGAGAGCGGGCAGTAGAGGGCGACAACGTCCTCTGCTGCCCGCAGATAAACGGAGAAGGAAGTGACGCGCCACCATCAGCGTCAGCCTGAAGAAGCCGGCAGCTGTCGGCGAAACCGTAGCTACAAACAGGTAAACAAAACTGTTTCTGTGTTTAAAAAAGAACAAAAGCATGGATTTACAAAGACACAGCAAGAAAACACCTAAGATTAAAGATTCATATCTAGTATGAATCCCATCTAATGGACACTGGGTTATTTTAATCAGAAGATTGGATCTTTTTATCACAGGGACTTTAAATAACACTTTGCATTAACCAAGAGACAAGAGAAAAGAGAGAGACTTTCAAACGTTTAAGGAAATTTATTTACTAAATAATTTTAAACAGTTTAACAAGACTAACTCTCTAATGATGAATGTTCTGTTGGAATGAAGTGTGAGGTGAATGGTGTGTGTGTGAATGATGTCAAGTTCAGAACCTCCATATCCGGAGAAGCAGAGTTTGAGTGGGAGATGATGTTTTGCTCCTTACTGATCAAGTTTGAGCCCGTGGTCATAAACACATGAGACGCCAGTTTTGTCACATCCACATACCCTTCAGTAAGACCTCCACGATGGATCCAGAATGCCCAGGTCCTCGGACCTTCCTTCTGGTACTGGAGCCAATGGTACAGCGTCATAGCACGACAGACTAGTCTTTGGATAGTCTCCAGGTAAAAAGTGACAGGTGTTTCACAGCGTCAAAATGGGGACCTTCCTTGGGTCAGCGAGTTCAGCTTTTATTCTGAAGAAACCGTTGTTGGTTGATAACAACGACAGATTTTTCCCAGCTTGATAGTTCTTAGCTTAAAAAGAAAAGTACAGATGGCCTCTCCATACTTCACTTAACATGCGGTGAACTCCAAGGGATCTTGAATACTGTGAATACTGAACTTAAAATGGCGTTGGAACTGTTTTATTAATCTGGATGTTTTTGATTCTGGACGAATCTGTCACGATGCGAGCAAGGAGGTGGTTAGGACCCAAAATGCAGAAACCCAGGATGACACGAGGCAGGGGTGGAAGATTAAATAAAAATTCTTTATTTGGGGATAATCCAAAGGCAGAGAGCCAAAAACTAAAAATCCAAACACTGAAATGGAGATCCAAAAACACTAGAGACTCAAGAAGTACTAATAACACTAGAGATCCAAAAACGAGATGAGACTGACAGAAAACAATGGACCGACAAACACATTGAGACACAGACAGGGTTAAATATACTGGGAGGATGAGAGGGAGATGAATCGCAGGTGTGTGGGGAGAGAGAGACAGGTGAACACAATTATTAATAAGGGAGGAAACTAACTTGACCTAAGAATAACATCTAAGACAAAAAGAACAGGAAACATAACTACTTAATCGGGGGGTGGGGGGGTGGGGGGTGGGGGGGGGGACAAAAATAATAAACACTGGTGGGAAAAACACACTAAATCATGAACAGCTATAACTAAAGGAAAATGACCTGAGAGAAAAAACCAAAAGACCAAAAGACCAGAAGGGCATGAACCATAACTAGTATTCTTATGGGAAGCTGAAACTAAAGGAAAACACTACAGAAAGAGAACCTACTGGGGCGTGACTAAAAGGGGGCCAAAGAAGCACAGGAGCTGGAGGGAAATACCTGGGGGGGAAGGAAAACTAGAAGGGCTGCAGCTCTGGGAACACACGAGGAAGACGTAGACAATGACACAAGAGGGCATAAGGATGCACAACAGGAGAACCTAGAGACAGATGGAGAACACCAGGAGACACAAGAGGGAAGGGGCAGAACAAGGACACATGAGGGCGCTAGGAGACACAAAAGGAGAACCTAGAGAGGGATGGAGAACACAAGAAGACACACAAGGGGAGACGTAGACGCAGACCATGACAGAATCAAAGCTGACAGAATCAATAAACACCACAGAGCCTCTGCCACGCTTCAGATGGGGAAGGTTCTGATTGGATCAGCAACAGCAATGTGTCATGTGATTATTTACCTTAATGTATCAGCGTGTCTAGTGAGTAAAATAAGTCATTTATTTATTAAAAACATATTAATCATAATATTGTGATTTCACAGATCGGTCACATTGTATTATTGACTAACAGTTGTTTTGATTAGCTTTATTGAAATCAGAGTCCTTTGATCTAATGAAAGAAAAGAAAAGAGTCTTCATCTTCTGTCTTCATTGCTGGAAGGTAAACAGTTTAGAAGCGAATGCATGACCTTGAGGCTGTTTCATGCACTCTGGCACTGTGTCAAAGGGAACTGTGGTCAAAGGATAATAACCTTGAGAAATGGCTTCTCCATCATGTTACAACTCTGTGCAGCATTTTGGTCAGCTGGCATGCTGTTTTTAAATGTGCTAAACAATTAAATTTGGTATGGTGGGTTAAAAAGCTCAAATTCGTCGAGAACACAACCGGAGAAATAAGAGTATTTTCTGTTATCTTACTGAAACCTAAACGTGAGATAAGGAAAATTTTTCTCTGCATGTGCAAACTTTACAATCTAGAATTTTATCTTAAAGTTTCATCTTGTTCCAACAACACTGGAACCATAATGTGTGCAGCATTCCTGGTTATTATAAGCTGACACCATATTATATAAAATTCAGATACAGTCAACTTCTTAACATCTGGAAAATGTTTGTGTGGATGTGTCAGTTTGAGTGTTAAATGGTTTGCTTGTATTATATTTTTGTTCCATGTAGATCAGATTGCCCTGCCTGACTTTAACGCTGGAGCGATGGAAAACTGGGGACTGGTGACATACAGGGAAACGGCCTTGCTGTATGACCCCATGCTTTCCTCCACAGGGAACAAAGAGAGGGTCACAACTGTCATCGCTCATGAACTCGCTCACATGGTTTGTCACTGGTTTCCTCCTAAAGGCTTTCATGACTTTATGTTTTGGTTTTATTTAAACCTGTTCTTTCATAAGTTTGGTCGTGTTGAAGTAGAAGTATAAAGGAGACAGGAAGACTGAAATTTGTTGTTGTTTTCAATATAAAGAAATTCAGAAAGCAAATAATTTTTCCAGGAAATTAAACATTACAGCAGCAAAAATGTCAGGGCTCACATAGAGTGTTTATTTACAAGTCAGGATGTATCAGCACACCCATGTTGTCGGAACTGGGACACGGTTTCAGAGGAAGTACGTACATGTTGGACAGATTAGGCTCACACAAGTAATCTGCTGTACTTAGTGCAGATGATCTCAGAGTATTTGCTGCCACAGGCTTGAGATAATCATTGTCTTTGGGTATTTGTTGTTCTTGCAGTGGTTTGGAAACTTGGTGACTTTGCACTGGTGGAATGACTTGTGGCTGAACGAGGGCTTTGCTTCGTATGTGGAGTACCTCGGAGCTGACTACGCTGAGCCCACCTGGAACATTGTATGATCAACAATAGTGACCTAATTTTATAAAGTTCTCACACATATTACCTGCTCAGGTAAGCCTTTCCTGACTCTACTTTCTATTTGGAGGCAGAAAGACGACATCATTTTGTATGATGTGCAGAAGGTGTTAGCTATTGATGCCCTGGCCTCATCTCACCCTCTGTCCCGGAAAGAGGAGGAGGTCAGCAAGCCCGCTGAAATCAGTGAGATGTTCAACAGCATCTCCTACAACAAGGTGAATTTCCTATGGCTGCTCGTGCTTCTTGCTGGATTCTATGTGCATTACAGAAATGTAGTCTTTCCATATTTCTATAACTAAAATGCAGAAGGACAATGGTGGATTCTGCCTGCATTTACATGTCTTTGTGAGAGGCTGTTGGTAAACGACTTCATGAACAGTTTCATAAGAGTTTTTTAAAACTCACAGAAGTTCATTGCTGACCATATTTTTATAATTGATTTGTTTCAGGAGTCGACCTAATTTATGATTGATTCCAAAGCTATAAAAATGGCTTTGTCGATATTATAAAGAGTTAAATTGTAGTGTGTTAATTGCTGAGACTCATCTGCAACACCCCTTTGAGCCCTAAATGATTGTACGAAACCTAAAATAATGATTTTACTAACCCTAACCAACATAAAACATTCAAATTGACGTGACAAGATGAAACACCAAGTTTAAAAATTTAAATTAAAATACACAAAAGAATTTGATGTAAGATGCAGAAAATGACAAAGTTGAGCAGTTACAATGCAGAAGTTGCAGCATAAGAAACATTAATTCAAAGACAGATGAATACATGAAAATTTTCAATAGAGATGGGGCACATGTGAGGTCATAAGGAAGCTGATTCCATCAGCCAGAGGAGGTATGAGCTTTGGGTATAACCATAGAATAACTTCAGACATTTTCCTCCTGCTCCTTCACATCATCACACAAACATGCACATAGGGCCTTGGGGTGTGGATAAGTCAGGGGTGCAGGCAGTGTTGGCAAAGTTCGTTTAAAATACAAACTAGTCCAAAGTTCAGTTCATACATTTTAAAACGAACTATTTCATTTCTTAGTTCATAATTTAAAACATTTTGAACTAAGTTCACTGTTCCAAAAATGAACTACACACACACACACACACACACACACACACACACACACGCACACACACACACACACACACACACACACACACACACACACACACATATTTTTGCATATACATATATACATAGATATATACATACACACATATATAAATATATGTATGTATCTATATCTGTCTATATATATTTATATATGTATATAAATATATATAAGTATGTATATGTGTATACCGTAAATCCTCTAATATTGGCCTGTATTCAGTTAACGGCCGGGTGTCATATTTTGGCCGGTGTCGGAGTCGGCGGAGGTGAATAATGGCCGTTTTTTTATTGTGGCCGGGTGGAATGTGGTAACAAGCACAGGGGGGCGGTTGTGTCATCCGTCTCACTTTTGATTTGCCAGTGATAGACCGCGAGGGTAACTTTAACCGTGGCAGGTGCGGAGACGAAGAGGAGGCGAAAATTTGATATCAAGTTCAAAGAGAACGTGCTGATTATGCTGCAGAACACTCTGGGGAGCAGTAGGGGTTGTATGAACTAGTCACTAGTCGACTTCACCGCTCTATAGTGACTTTTTATGCCTGTCATCGACTAGTCGCTGTCACGTGATAATGACCGGCAAGATGCAGTCCTCGGAAAAGACAGCAGCCTGCCGTCAGCAGGTGACAAGCTCCTGCGCGTCGGGAGGCAACGCGCTGTGCCAGAGCGTCGGTACTGACACCCGCCGTAAAACGGACATTTAACCAAATTGTGACGTTTACCCTCTTGCAATTTAACCTTCCCCTCACCCCCATCCTAACCTTAACCAGCTTGCGCATGCAAAGCTCAGATTATTGACGCCCTCCAGACATTGCGTCCTGAGCACGGCCACAGTAACGTTACCAAATCAGGTGTCGCCACCTGAAAAACTAATTTAACACGCGATTGTTTATGTCCTCATTTCCTTTTATGTTTTCTGTCTTTTATTTGTGCCTGATGCTTTTATTTGTGCCTGATGCTTTTCGCATCACCTTGTCCTCCGGTGACGCACCTCACTGATGCGGCCGGCGACATATATATGAAATAACTTTCCAATAGTTTGCACCCGTTCAGTCCACACTCATAACCAGCTGCAGTTTTTATCCTACAGTATAGTATCAATAACATGAGGAAAACATTTTTTTATGGGAAATTATTAAACAATCTTAGGAAGCAGGCTGAGGTAGCAATCTCAAATTGCAATATTAAAAGTACAAAACATTAGAAAATTTATAATCTTTCAGTTAGGTCCCTTTTTAATTTTTCTGAATGAACTTTGACTCCTGCACACAGCATTGACATAGAAGAGTAGACGCCGCACCAACTGCTACTGCCTATGTTTGGCCACATTTGCGGGTTCTACTTTTTATAAACTCTATGGTTAAAAGGATGTTTTAGCTAGGGTTTAGCACCGGAAAAGCTCTGTGGAGATCTTGAGCTAGAACGGTGAAAGACCGCGTTCATAAACCCGTTCAAGGACGCCAGGACGAACGCAGTCACTTTTACGTTTGTCAGGCAAAACACGAATGAGTTCAAATTCCATCTTTCAGTACTTTTTAAAACACAGAAAAGGTTTAATTACCTGCAACGTTTCGTTTGCGGCTGCAAATATCATCAGGCTGACGCCGATGGTGGCGTCACTTACTTTGTTTATCCCATCGAGATATAAATATTGGACAATGGGTTTCCATAGACTCCAATAATAAGTTTTTGTGCTAAAATGGGAGGTGGCCACCACCGCCATTTTGAATGTGTCACAGGTTCCATCAAGCCCAGACAATTCCAAAAAAGGGAAGAGAGGTGGAGCTGAGGGTGGGGCTGTAAGGCTGGGATCAACTGACGACACCCGGTCTAACTAGCTACAAGCTAACCTGAAGCTAACCCTGGCTAACCCAAAGCTAACGCGGAGGTAGGAGCCAAGCTAACGGATGTAGCCACATAGCTACAGCTGGAGCTAACTCTGTCGAACACCCATCGACCGCATGGAGTTCAGGTGGAGGTTTGCGGCGCTTTTTCATGAAAAGTACCTTTCTGTGAATAAAAAAAAATTAAATCGGTAATTTTATAAGTTATTTCCGTAATGAAAATATATTTTGCTTTGAGCAAGTTTTCACTATTTTTAACGTACGGTATTTTCCGGACTATAAGTCGCTCCTGAGTCGTACCAGCCATTAAATGTATAATGAAGAAGAAAAAAACATATATAAGTCGTATTTTGGGGGGAAATCTTATTATTTTTCTTACAAAATCTGAGACCAAGCGTTTCACATTGCAAGACAAGTACCGGTAACAATCACCGAATAATGCGCCGCAGCAGCGCGCCATGGTCTCCAGCAGAGGAAGGTGGTGTTTGAAACCCTCTCAGCAGGACAGGGGAACTCATTCTTGGGTCGGAGTTGGCCCGCAGCAGCGCAGTGTAGCGTACATATTTTGTTATATAAGTCGCTCCGGAGTAGCAGGACCGGCCAGACTATGAAAAAAAGTGCGACTTAAGCTTGGTTTATGCTTGACACATTTACTTTCCGCTTGGTGATGCGGCTCGTGGATGGAACGCCCTTCACAACTTGCAGCGTTTATGGTTCATGCGGCTTGTCTCTGCGGTGAGCCAATATTCTCCCAAACTGTAGGGGGCAGTATGGAGCTCTATGGCATGCATCCAACACTACACCATAGTAGAAGTAGAAATTACTGTTGTTTATAACAGTTGTTAATAAAAGTTGAGAGCCAACTCAGCTCTTTTAGAATTGGTAGAGTGTTCTTGTTTCCACCAGGATCACCTCTTTTCCGTTTGTTCCCCTTCCTTGCCTTCACATATCTGTCCCCCATGTTTTTCCAGCATTTTTTAACAGCATCCTCGTCTTTTCCGACAGTGCGAGCTATTTCTCTCCGAGAATTATTAACAACATGTTGATCACGGTGATCTTTGAGAGCTGAATCATACAAATGTCTGTATTTACGAACTCTGCCATACTAGTTCTTGCCAGTCCACCATGTTTTTTTCGTGCTCGACCGTCCGTGTGGTTAGAAAATTTCCTAGGTGTGCGGTGCGGAAAGTTTGGGCCGTACTGAGGCCAGGTGGAGGGGCGGGGTTGTTAAAATGACGCAATTTTGCCGCGCGGAGCTATACGAACCTCGCGGACGCGTCAAGTATAAACCAACCTTTTGGCTTCCTATTTCAACAACAGAACCACCTCAATAGTGTGATATAACACTCACTGGTGAGCAAAGCAGGTTTAATTAGCAACAGGAGATGGAGGGGAGAGGGCAAACAAAGCAAGAGAAACACAGAGGCATTCTCAATAAGCTGCAGCTGATTCACAGCTTTTTTTAGGGAAGACCATTGCAATAATCTAGCCTGCTGGAGATGAACGCATGAATGAGTTTTTCTAGGTCTTATCTGGAAATGAGACCTCCAAGTCTTGCTATTTGATGAAGATGATAATACACTGATCTAGTTATAGCCTTACTGTGACCAGTGAAGCTCAGGTCTGAATCAGTTATGACACCAAGATTTCTAACCTTAATCTTTGTCTTTATTCCTCTGGAACCAAGCAATAACTTCCATCCTATCCTTTTTTTTTGTTTTCAAAGACAATAACTTCAGTCTTGCCTTTGTTTAACTGAAGAAAGTTTGACTACATCTAGTCATTGACTTGTTTAAAACAGTGACATTGAAGAACAGTGGTCCAAGAATTGAACATTGGGGGACCCCACATGTCATGGTGATCCCCTTTCATTTGTTGTCTTCAAAATATGAGCCAATGATGAACTGTGCCTGATAGTCCCACCCAGTTTATTGAGAAGGATGTTGTCCTTCTGCTATGCTGTGATTTGGGACCCTTTGTGGCACGACAGACAAACCTCGCGAATCGGACTCCAGTTCATATTTTATTTTACAACTACAAGAACCCTCCAGAACCTCCTCTGCACCACAGTCATGCAACCAGACTGAATGACAGCTCAGAAGAGGCTGACGCTGCACTCTCAGACATTTCCAAATTAAACTAACTCCAAACAGAACGACCCCTTAAATGTAAATGAGAACCCGATATTCTACCATTTATCAAATCCATTTTCTTATTGATTTCTGACAGGAACTTCTCCTCTGTCTCGACT